GCACTGTAACACTCCCACAATGCACCAAGTGGCTTCAGCCTGCAGGGGGACTATACTTCTCATCCTCGCCTAACTGTTACCTTTTCAGGGAACCACGCAGATTAACTGGACCTCACTCTGAAGATCTTGAAAAATGCCATTAGTACAGTTTGTGGGAGGAAGCCTGGAGTATAATCAGTGATACTTAGAATGATTTTATGAGCCGGCCTATTAATATGTTCTGGTAATACTAGAAAAAGGGCTACCCATCTGGGGAGAGGAGGGAGGTATTTTGTAGAATCTTTTCAAATTTTGATTTATTTTTACTTTGTATATTTGAAGTGTACAACATGATGCCTTGGTATTTGTATGTGTATACATGTATGTTTTATGTATGATCACTAATGCCAAATTGACATGCCTATACAATATTAGTATGCTTTCTGTCCCAATAACAACATACCTGAGGTTGTAAACTTTAAACAGAAGTTTATTTCACCCATTGCATGGGAATGTTCAAGGTCGACTGGATCCACTAATTTGGCCTCTGGCAAAGGAAAGACTAGTTGTAATACTACAGAGCAGAGAAACAACAAAAAAGGGAAATGGCCATGTGGAGGAGGAAGAGAGATCACATGGGAGGACGGTAAGATGGGAAGCCAGAGATTCAGGGGTCGGGGCTCAGTCTCACAGCAATTACTTGGGGTCCCTGGGAACTGTATTAATATATTCTGATGAGTGAACTACTTTTCAGTAGCATCTACCTATCAAAAGTTCCAGTGCTTCAACACTAACACACTAACCTTCGGGGAACACATTCAGACCCTAGCAAGTCACCTTCCACAGCTGCCTCTGTGTGTGTGTGTATGTGTGTGTGTGTGTGTGTGTGTGTGTAAGACAGACAGACAGACAGACCTAAACTATGCCAAGTGAGGGAGGGAAGAGTGCCTCACACTTCTTGGCCATGAACCACATGAGCTGATGCTCAAGGACCTCGGGCCCCCTGTGTTGATAATAGTGGGTCAGTGGCTCTGGGTCAGTGGCTAAGAATGAAATACTAACCCTAGTGGGGCCAAAAGAAGGACCTGCACTTTGTGGACATTGCAAGATAAGAGGCCATTCACAGAGTTGGCGTTTCAACCGTTGGGTAAGAAGTCTGGGAGGAGGAATTTCAAAAGAAAGACTCAAGAGATGAAATGCAGAGATGCTGAAACTCAAGATGGACTCTGCTTGAGTCCATCTTGTAATATGGCTGCTCTGCCAAAGCTCCACCCCGCACACCATGGCCCAGTCACTCCTGGAATCTGATGCATCCACCACCGCTTTCTTACACCCCAGTTCAGAGGAGGCATTAAAAGCTTTCTTGTGTGGTGGACCATGAACACTCAGAGGAAGGTAGAGGACCACTCAAGGCACTGGTCTAGAAAAATAAGCAAGCACCTATTAAGTACCACTTTCTACCTAAGGCAGTTCTGTGACCAGAAACTTTTTTCTGCCTGTGGAATTCTGCCTTTGCAGTTCCTAGTGCCTCTGGTATTACATATGAACTATACAATTCTCTTTCCTTCCTCATCCTTTCCTTCCTTCCTCTACTTCCTTCCTCTTCCTTGCTTTTGTTGCCATTACCGTAGTGAATGCACTTACTCATTATCTTTGATTTTAGCACAAAACAAGTGGAGACTATGTTAAAATTTCTTTTAAATGTGGGTAGTGATAATGAAATCAAGAGAGGAAATTCTGAGAGACTTTGTAGGAAATAAAATGCTTACTGGACATATTTATAAGGCACAACATGAGCTTTCAATATATATATGCCAAGTTTACTTATCAGAGTAAATAATGTTTCTACCTCCATGTTATTATTTTGTTTGAAACTCCAAGCTCCTCTTTTCTAGTTATTCATAAAACATAGATTATTATCAACTATCATACTGTATCATAAATGTATATAATTATGACATGTTAATCCTATTAAGGAGGGTGAAATCTGAGGCTTGAGGTTCAAAACCAGCCCAAGCAGGAAAGTCCCTGAGAATCTTATCTCCAGTTAAAACCAAAAGTGGAGCTCTGGCTCAAAGTGTTAGCCTTGAGCACAAAAGCTCAGGGACAGTACCCAGGCCCTGAGTTCAAGCCCCAGTACCAACACACAAAAAATAATTAAATAACCTGATTTTAATTCCCTAAAGTGAAGCACTCCAGAGCTGGGAAGGTGGCTCAGTGATAGAGTGCTTGCCTTGCATGCATGAGGCCCCAGGTTTGATTCCTCAGCACCACATAAACAGAAAAAGCAGGAAGTAGTGCTGTGGCTCAAGTAGTAGAGCACTAGCCTTGAGCTGAAGAGCTGAGAGCCAGCTCCCAGGCCCAGAGTTCAAGCCCCAGGACTGACAAAAAAAATAAAAAATAAAGCACTCCATACATATATGCATTCAAAATTATTAAATAAATAACCACAGTTCAAATCACAGTCACATTAAACAAATAAGATAAATGTTTCTATTAACACATTTGGTGAAAGCTACAAAATTTAATGTTTGTTTACAAAATAGTGATTAAAAAAGCATCTATGCATGTAAGTAATATATGAATATACAGTTAATTTAAATGCTATATAAATCTGTTTTAGATAAATACTACTTTTAAAATTATTCTTATTTTAACTATTTTACTTTTTTAAAATTTCATTTTATTGTAAAGATGCTGTACAGAAGGGTTACAGTTACATGAGTAAGATAATAAGTACATATCTTGTCGAGCATTGTTACCCGCCTCCTTTTTTTTCTCCTACTATCCCAACAACCTCTAAATGTAAAAGGCGTGGCTTCCTAAATAAGATAAATTAGAAAATGTCCATAAAATTATTGAATTATAAAATACTTGTCTTTATATTTCTTTTATGCTTTAAAAATATTGAAATTTTAAAAATCATAGTAAGGGTATTGTAGAAAAATAAGTTATTGATGAAACACAATTTTTTAGCTATAGGCATAACAAAATAAACAGCTGAGCAACTTCAAGACTGCTATTTAAAATTTAAAACATGGAGCTAGCATATGTTTAATAAGTGTGCAATGTTAAAGAAAAAAAGTAGCATTTACCTCTACAATTGAGCTCTTTTTCTATTTGAATCTATTAGAATTTCCAATTTCCTAAGCATATATGCCTTCAGCCAATTTAACTATGATCAGTTGACATCCAAATGTTCAATTAAATAGCATTACATTGATAAAAGATACTCTTGATCTTAGCCAAAAGACCAAGAAGCCATTGATTTATAGCATTAAGTATGATCATCTAATTTCACAGATATATTCTTGGGTCACCAGGCCCATAAGTACCGGCATCTAGTATGTACTGATCAGCACCAGGCTCATGGGAGAGTATAATATCTAAGTTCCAACTCCGCAAACTGGGCTCTGAAGTGGCATAATGCCCACTGGGTACCTCATGACACATCCAAGCCCAAGGGTTGAGTAAATAGAAAACTAGGAAGGCAAGGCAAGCACAAGTAAAATGAGCAACAAAAACAAAGTTGATGGTTCAAAAACTAGGAATGTAGTTAAGAATTGTAGTCAAAGAAAGCCAAAGCCAGGAACTTCAGAAAACAAGCCAAAAAGTACAAGAATAAATGTGTGGAGACCATAATTGCTGGCTCTTTTCTTTCTGTCCCTTTGAAACCACCTTTCTGAGCCAGAATCAGTTCCAATATTACTATGTGCCTTGTGCTAATACAGGACAAGAGGCAAAGATCTCAACAACAGACCTGTCCCTTTCTTTCTCCGTAAGAATAGAGAATGTGGTAGCAAGGAGAGAATCTCTTTTCAGTACTAATTATTATTTTGATGAATCCCAACACTTATAAGGTAGCACTAAGGTAGGAAAGCATTTTCAATAATGCCCACATTGAGAATATGCCTTAATTCCAGACACTGGTGGCTCACGCCTGTAATCCCTACTTAGGAGGCTGAGATCTGAAGATGGCTGTTCAACCAGCCCAGCCAGGAAAATCTGTGAGATTCTTATTTCCAATTAACTACCTAAAAGTAAAAAAAAAAAATGTAGCTGTGGCTCAAGTGGTAAGAGTGCAAGCCTTGAATGATGATGATGATGGTAATAATAATAATAAAGCTCAGGAATAGTGCCCAGGCATAGACACAAAACAAAAAGTATGCCAGCCTTTAGTGAACAAAGAATATGCTTTATATGGCATTAGGACAGGAAGAGAGAGAAATAGAAGGTGCTAATCTGGTTAAAGTTTAATGTATGCATTGTGAAAATGCATGGCAAGAAAATCTATGGTTCAATTAAGATGCACTTTAAAAAAATGAATGTGATGAAAGTATAATAGTTTCTCTTGGGGGATGGGTACCAGCAGAGAAGGAAAAGCAAATGGACAGAATGAATGAGGTGGATATAGTCAAAGCACTTTATATGTATATCCATATCTATAATATAGATATAAAATATAGATAGAGAGAGAGAGACTAAAGAAATCTGTTAAAACTTGTAAGAAGGGGGAGGAGAAAGAAGAGCCATAAAGGGGGGTACATTGTATGTATGTGAGGAAAAGTCATAATGAAATTCTCCTTGTAGGTCTATTGTCAGCTAATAAAATGTTTTTTATAGATAAATATGCCATCCGGTGCCTGTGGCTCACACCTGTAATTCTAGCTACTCAGGAGGCTGGGATCTGAGAATTGCAATTCAAGGCTAGTCCTGGGAGAAAGTCCATCTGACTCTTATCTCCAGTTAACTACCAAAAAGCTGGAAGTATCAGTGTAGCATAAGTGGTAAAATGCTAACTTTGAGCAAAAGAAGCTCAGGGGCAGCACCCCAGCCCTGAGTTCAATCCCCAAGACTAGCACAAAAATGAAAGAGGCAGAGAGAGAAAGGGAGAGAGAGAAATGAATATGCCTTTGTCTTTCAAGTATCCTATAAATTTTAGAGCAGTAGCTTCATTGACAGAGATGGAAATGCTCATGCTGAAACTCTTGATTCTAGACAAACATCCACAAAACAGCATAGAAAGGGAAAGAAATCAGGACTTTGTTGTAACAAAAGTGTATATGCCAAATATCCATGATAGACAAGGAAAAACCACCTGAACTTGATCTAGAACTTGGTCCTAGAAAATAGATAAAAGTGAGACATAAGATCATTTAACATTGACATTGCTTCACAAGCGAGTCCCATTGGCCTTGGCGTTTTGATCTGTGGAGTTCAATTCCATGTGGTTGAATGCTGGATTGTCAGTTCCACCGTCTTCCACTGGATGAGATTTGTAGCTCAAATCATGATGTTGCTAAAAGAAAATGTCAACATGGTGATTACAAACAGTCTTTTGTTCTGTGCTAAATAATGATTACTGCCATTTTCCTTAGACCAGATGAGTATGGACAGAAAGAGAAAGAAGGGGGTGGGGGTGGGGGTGGTATGATGTGATGTGATGTGATGTGGTATGATATGATCTGATGTGATTACTGGGACTTGAACTCATGGTCTGGCCCTCTCTTAGCTTTTTTGCTCAAGACTTGCAACACTGCTTCACTTCCAGATTTGTGGTGGTTAACTGGAGTCTCACAAGACTTTTCCTGTCTGGGTTGGTTTGACCTTGATCCTCAGATCTCTGACTTCTGAGTAGCTAGGATTACAGGTGTTGTATGGAAGGAAAGAGAGATGTCCAAGGGATTTAGATCAGCAAAAAACGGCATGGAGGGTTAACCGATAGTGTACAGATACATACCTTCCTTGTTTGTTACTGTTCAAGAAACAGGCTAGGGCTGGGATGGAGCTCAGTGTAAGGTAAGCACTTCCCTATCAAGTGGTGGGTTTGATCCCCAGCACCAAAGAAAGAAAAAGAAAAGACAAAAGAAATAAAAGAGGAAGGAAGGCCGGAGGGAGGGAGGGAGGGAGGGAAGGAAGGAAGAAAGGAAGGAAGGGGCTACAACTGTTCATGAAGAAATAAAGCCCAGTTTCCTAATTTAGAGCAAATAAAAGCCAACTTACTTTCTTTAAGAAGTTGAAATTTGATAAAAAGTCCTCTTTGGTTAGTAAGACTCTAGAGTCTAAGTTCTGTTTTCTTCCTCCTAAAAGAGACAAATAATTTGAATTTATTAAAGCCATAATAACTATACAGTGACATCCTATAATATAGGCATTTAACTTTTTTTTATGCACTCAGACATCAGGGAATCCTTAAAATAGTGGTGAAGATTTAATCATGCCTCTTAAACATAAGCCAATCACTTCATCTGATGCTCCACTACAGCCATCTTTCCCCTGCTGAGAGGAAAACTGATTTTAAAGCATCCTGCATGATCCACCAATAAAATACCAAACCATCTGCCTCTGCTTTAACCAGCGGAGCTGCTTTTCCCAGTTTGCTGGCTACAGCATATTTAGGTGTGGGAAGAAATGTAGGGAATTATGAATTGTGGGAAGAAGTAGTCAAAACTAGTAGTATTTTTAAACTGGCTCATAATGAAACAACACTCACACCTGTAAACCAGTATCATAAAAACGGACACGCAGAGAAACACAAGAATAATTACCTGTTGATAAACTGATAAATATGCCCACAAGCAATGCTGTCAAAGTTCCAATGGTACTAAAGTACAGATATGATAAAGAATACCAGTTATCCATCAGTGGAGTCCTGAAAGAGAGCCAGAGTGGAACTGTAAGATTTCATGTTACACCAGTACAACCCCAAGTCTGGGTCCGTGAGCCCCATGACCAAGTGAAAATGCAATATTTAATAATGTTTTCAATGTCACCATCTGATGTTCATTTATTGGATCAGGAATTAAAAGCATGACTTCATCTTGATAATGTACTTGAGAAAGGACTTTGAAGCCCACAAAAATGGAGTCTTTAGCCCAAGAGAAACAAAACCCCTAATTTTTTTCTGCTTTAGTTATTTTCAGGTGAGGGTTTTCATTTTGCCTCTGCGTTTGCAGACTTCACAACAAGATGTGATCTTCTTACCTACAGTCTCCTACTGCTGGGACTACAAGTATATACCAGCATACCCATATGGATTACTGGTTGTCTTACTAACCTTTTGATTGGCCTAGCCTAGAAACCACAATCCTCCTGCTCTCTTCCTGAGGAGCTGGGATTATAGGCATGAGCCACCTAACCTGGCCGTGTTTTTTTTTCACTATTTTAACAAATATATATTGAGTATGTATTAGCTATTTACCACATACATGCTTATTGAGTTTATTGTTCTGTATCTAATAGTGTATCTTTTCACATTTCTTATAATTTTCTAGAAAGTGGAAACCACAGTGGGTGGGAAGAAGATACTTTCTAAAGTGGGTATGAAATAAATGTCCACCATAGCGCTAGGTAGATGTTGAAAAATTACTGTTTATTAGCTGAGTCATTTGGTTTCTTGTTTGTTTATTTGTGGTACTAGGGATCTAACCACAGACATTGTAGATGCTAGATAAACACTCTACCACAGGGTTCTACCCTTAGCCCCTATTGGCTGAATTTTTTTAATAGATAAGCTAACAACAGGAAAGTGACTGCAAACTTCTGCTAATATATTTGTTTTAGAAATCCAAGTGTCCATTTTGCTTATGCTGTTAAGGAAGATAATTATAGAACTGGGACAAGTGGAACCCGTAACCAGACATCATGAAAGAGTACAGATATCCTGAACATCCTCCCCCTTCGCATTCCACTTACTTTATCTGCATCCATTTCTGGCTGTCCGATGACTTTCCCAGCCCCCTTCTATTACTGCGTTCATGCTTGTCCAGGCCACTTCCTAAACCTCCTTTTCTATCCATAACACCTCATCTAGTCTCTGAAACATGCTTCCTGCTCTGAAAGTACCTTTTGTCCCTATCTGTGGAGAGCTTCCCTCACTTGGAGGTGCTACTGGCAAGTATTCTCATAGCTTAATCCCCTCCAGGTCATGATGGCTTTGCTAAAGATGATTGCTGTATATAATTATGTACCTTCTCTCCCCACCATGTCCGTTTGGTAGGCAATGGCACTATTTCTGCCTTCCTTGAAAATGTCCATGAGATTTGAGGTTTTCAGCTTGGATACTGGTATATTCACTAAACGAACACTTGCTTTCACATCTATACTGTATGGTAAAAATGCTCTTCTACAAACAGGATCATTTCATTAAATTAGACCACCCCAGTATTCAGAGATCCAGAAATACACTGCATAACTGAAACTTCCAGTTGGATGTTCAGAAACTAATTTCTGGAGCTCCAAAGACTCAAAGTCTTTAAAATGCAATAAATGGCAATGACCCAAAATAGTTAGACAACTGTAGCTTTTAATTAGTGGAGGATCTACTTCAAAGAGTGTATCAGAAATATTACTTTATAATCAAGCATTTCACCATAAAAGTTTTCAAAGACAGTGATAATCATTCATTCAGCTAAAGCTAGTGTTTGACAATTTCATCTACAGTACAATTTCACATTAATACTTGAGACCTCTTTAAATTTGTAAGGCAGGTATTTCTATAGATATTAAGAAACCAGGCTAGTTAATAATAAAGAAAGCAACTATGGCATTATGTGCTATCACTAGGTAAAATATTATAGCCAGAAAACCATATGGTTTTAGAATTTTTAAAAATCACAGTGTTAAGGGCAATACAAAAGGCAACTAGAGTTTTTTCTACTTGTCACATCATTTTAAAGATATGAAACAAAACGTCATACCGTTCAACGTTACGTATTTCAAAAGCACTAGTATAAAATGGCATTTCTGTTGTTGTCATCAAATCTGTCCCATTGTAGGTGCTGTTACACCCATAGGTTTCAAGGGATAATGGCATAGTTCTCTCAGGAAGTGGTGGATAAAGTTGAGCTCCAATTCCAACCCATAAAGACATGGCAAATCCAGCCAACAGACCACTCAAGGCTCCCTGCAAAATAAGAGTGCTTTTACAAGAAAAATAATTGCCTTCAGGCGGAATTTAGCATTGAGATATTAAGTTCATCTGGACATGCTGGTGCAGCTCTATAGTCCCAGCAAGCACTGGGGAAGCTGAAGCGTGAAGACTGTGAGTTCAACCTGGACTGTATGGGAAGACCCTGTGGAAGTGCATGAATGAAAGGTAGAGGGAAGGAAGAAGGAAGGGAGGGAGATGGGAGAGAAAAAAGATGAGGAAGGAGAAAGGGAGTAAAGGTGATGGCTGATTGAGACAGAAAAGGGAGAAGAGAGGAAATGAAGGAATGAAGGGAAGGAGGAAGAGAGGGAAGGAAGGATGGAAGAAGGGAGAAAGGGAGGGAAATGGAAAGAAAGGGAAATGAGGAAAGGGAAAATAACATGATCTAACCAAAGTTCCCCAACTCCCTTCCAAAAGCTCTTTTCCTTCATAGGATCTCTGGATCTTATCAAGGAACCATAGGCTCCTGGTCCTTCAGCCCTCCTTATTTCATAACCAATCACTAACTCCTGCACATTTTTCTCTTAATGCATTACGTATTTCCATGGCCAGCACTCTGTTCTTGCCTCCTTATCTCTTCACACCCCAAAACCTGCACCAGCCATCGTTGACTGCAGGCCAATTGTTTGTTCCCTTTGTTTCATGAACAAATGGCATGCTATTTCCATATATTTAACAACACGCGTGATCGTAATTGAGCTGAAGGATAATTAGGGGGAAAAGCTAGCAAACAGGTTTTCCAAATGACTGCAATTGTGCACATACACAACCACATGGTTGTGTGGCTGGTCAGATGTGACATTCTAGAAGAATGTCTCCATTTTCTAGAGAAAAGACTAGAGATGGAGAGAGGAGAACTTGACTAGAGTTTCTTCAGAAGCTCTTTGGTTTCTCATCCTTTAGAAGATTCGGCACCCATGTTTCACTGGAAATCCAGGTGTTTCTGTCAGCTCTTGAGTGTGTTAAGTCCTTCCTCTAAATATTGGAGGAAAAGCCAACCTCCAGCTGGGAAGCTGAGATTTAGAAGCAGTGTTGTCATGGCAGCAGCCTGAGCCATGGGGGGGCTGGGGGGGGCTACATAGAGGAAAGGAAGGATTGCTAGAGGGGAGTAGAAAGATGAAGTGACGACACACAGTAGGAAAAAAGAAAGGTGTGTTCATGGGAGAGTGAGAAAGTGATTTCTGTCAGGACTGAAGACTGAGAACTCTTGCATTGCTGAACTCCTTGGGTCTGCAAGGCAGCTGCAGTAAACGGGTTTAATAAGATGACGCCAGAATAGTAGAATACTTAGCTGTTGACAGGCCAGATGGGGCTAAATCTCAGTAATATATATGACTTGATCAAGAATCTACAAAATTATTTAGGTTCTAAAAAGTTATTAAATCCATGAAGGCAACCATCTGCAGCTCTGTGCTCCTAAGACAGTGTTCAGCCCATCAATATTCATTGAGCGAATGGAACAGAGAGAAGGAAGGAGGCAGGAAGATGGGGAGGAAGAGCAGGAGAGCTAGAAGAAGAGGAGAAAGGTACCCTAAAGGAAGGCAAATAATCTTGAACTGAAAAAAAAAAAAAACCAACTTGGATATGACAAGGGAAAAAAAAGGTATTTCCAGTGGCAGGAATAAAAGTATTTAGTTCCCATCTCTAAAAGTGCTTATCAGCCACAGATACAGCTTTCCTGGAGGCCATTCATAGTGGCAACAAGTCAAAAACAAAAAGCTGCTCTTTTTGTTTTCTGTACCTGTCCCAGGGCTTAAACTCAGGGCCTGGGCATTATCCCTGAGATTTTTTGTTCAAGGCTAGCACTCTATCACTTGAACCACAGCTCTACTTCCTGCTTTTTGTGGCTAATTGGAGATAAAAGTCTCAGGGACTTTCCTACCTGGGCTGACTTTGAACTGAGATCCTCAGATATCAGCCTTCTGAGTAGCTAGGATTTCGGGCATGAGCCACTGATACCTGGATGATTTTTTTTCCCTTGACACTCAACAAAACTTCAACAATCTGAGAAAGATAAAAACAGCTCCTTTTCATTGTAACTAATTTCTGCCATGACACTTTATTAAAAATATATATTTTTTCTTTTAAGATTTTTAAGCAAGGAGCTGGTAGCCCAGGCCTATAATCCTAGCAACTCAGGAGGCTGAGATCTGAGGATCACCATTCAAAGCCAGACCAGGCTGAAAAGTCTGCAAGAATTTTATCTCCAGTTTAGCACCAAAAAAGCCAGAAGTGGAGGTGTGGCTCAAGTGTTAGAGGGCTAGCCTTGAGCACAAAGCTCAGGGACAGCACCCAGGCCGTGAGTTCAAGCCCCAGGACTAGCACCAAAGACAAAGATTTGTAAGTATATTAGCTGCACAAAGGGTTTTATTGCAACTCTTTGAGAATTATTAATCATGGTCTTTTTTCTTCCTTTTTCCTTTTTTTTTTAAAAACATTACCATAAAGGTAATGTGCAGAGGGATTACAGTTATATAAGTCAGGTTTTGAGTATATTTCTTTTTGAACAGTGTCACCTCTTCCCTCATTTCCTCCCAGTATTTTTCCCCTCCTGGCCCTTCTCCCCATTAATCACAGTCTTCATTCCAATCTGTCTTAGCAATTTTTAATGACTGACAAGGAAAATGAAATAAGTCATAGTTCTGTGATGAGGCTATATATGAAGTATAAAGCAAATACACACATCAGTTTTCCCAAACTTTATCCTATAGAGGGAATGATTTCTATTCCCTTTATCATAGACTAAAATTTAGTATTTCTGAACAAAGATTTGTCTATATAGAAGAGCAGAGATATCACCCCTTTATTTCCAGTGACACTCAAGCTTCTGGGGGCTAGAACCATGCTTTCATAGAACACCTTTAATGTGAGAAGTACCAAGTTTCTGGTTAAGGTGGTAAACCTCTGACAGCCTCTGTTTGCTGTCATAAGGCTTTTCACAGGTGTCTTCAGCTTTCTTGTTCTCAAAGCTCTCATACCTGAGTCTATTGATCTCCTTTAAGTCCTGGCTATTTAAGTCCTATTCATTGTGAATATTTAAAGTTGAACCATATGGTTCTGGCATTTTTCCATTTAGCTTCCCTACATGCAGGTCTCCAGTGCCTAGTGCTTCACTCTTCATCTGTCAAAGTAAAAAATGACTTTTAAGTCATCAAGAAGAGTAACTGGTGACAGATGTCAAAGTGACCACATTTCTACAACTGAGGAAAACAAAGATGTCATCATTCCTTTCCAATGGAGGTAAGAGATAGAGCTGCTGCTATAGCTGGGAAAATAAACTTTATATACACATCCATTCTTTATACTTACAAGTGAGTTGGCAAAGGGAACTAGAATGCCCAAAGAAAACAGGCCCAGAAGTGGTCCACCAATCATGCCAAATATACTGAGTGCTGCCTACAGAAATACAGAGTCAGTGGTTAGCAATCCCAAATCCAAATGAACATATCTCAAAAGAAATTTCACAGGATGACGATTTAAAATAGTCATTTTCCTCCAGGAAAATCACAGTTTTATTTGTGGAGCTTTGTCAGTAGTAAAGAAAACTTCTGCTCCTCAATCTCAAGTGTCCATCTGTTTGTTAGGAGCCCTCAAGAAGGGGCAACGAAATGCAAAGAAGACAGAGAGCCATGAGGCTCTGGTAATACCTGTGTGAGTGCGTGAAGCCAGGCTGTCCCATTGCAGCCTTGTTCTGATAAATCACTCTATGCCTTTGTGTATTGGTAGCCCCAAAGTACTCCACAGAATAAGCCTATGAGCAGGTTTTACTAAGCAACCTGAGATAATGATAAAACACACCACCAGGTCCTCATCCTGACCTGGTTCTCTAACAATGAAACTAAAATTCAAATATAATTTTTAAACATTGGACAAATGATATTTTTTTAAGTTTTAAATTCCAGTTGGGTAATCAAAACTGTTGTTGGTGAAATACCTAAGTTATCCTGGGCACCTGAAGTAGGCATTCCATACGTGGCATAATCTTCCCCTTCATGAAATTACACAGACTACTAAATACAGAACTGTTTATGAAATGATAACCCCTCTGGTACCTCACCTTTATAATAAAAATAAATATTTAATTTTTTAAAATACATAACATTAAATACAGAAACCACAATACAGTTAGATCACTGAGGTGATACAAAGAAGTACACGTACTCTGGTCATAGTTACAAAACAGAGCTCAAACTTAGCCAGGTAACAGAAAAAGTTCACCCGAATGAGTGGCATTTCAGTTGGAAGGTGATGAAGAAGTAAGACTTAGGCAGTTGGGAAGACAGAGGCAGGACTGATGCAGAGAGATACATGCTAAAGATGTAAATCAGAAAGAAGAGGCCCTTCTAAAGACTGGTCCATCTGCATCCCAACACCTCCACAGAAGTTGGAGGAACCTTTCCAACCCCAAGTTGTTCTCCAAGAAGAAAGTTTTCACATACCACTCGAGGTGAAGAGCCCTTCAGATGAAACAAAATGAGCAAAAATAAACTGTCACTTCTGAGAGGATCAAGTGGACATACTTTCCCCATATTTCACCTGCCAATAACTAAAAGTTATGGACATGACATATAAAATAAACATTGGAGCAATCTGAAAGGTAAAGAAATGGTAGAGCGATTACCTTGGTGTCTGAAAAGTGACCTGGTAAATTCTCTTGTGGTTTTCATTTCATGTATGTATCCCAGTCTTAGAGCTAAAGAATCCTGTCAACTCAGATGGCACAAAGCATAGGCACAAGCAGAAATCAAAACAAAAAGGCCACTATAGGCCTTCTCTCTCTATTCATAGGACCAGAAAAGAAGCACTCTGGAAAGATAGAAATCCCTACATTCCATCCAAGCACCAGAGAATAATCTGTAACCCGTCCACACCCATACCAGCAATGGCTGGTAGAGAGCTGAGATTCTGCCCTGTTCCCTGTACCAAGGCACGCTTTTGCCTCCCTGATGAGTAGGATCATGGGAAGCCTAATGCAGAGTCTGTACTTCCTGCCTAGCAGGAAGGAAGCCATCTGCATCAAGGTGTCAGCGAATACAACAGAAGATTATCCTGTTGTGTTTGGGAGTATTGGATGGTCCTAGTTACTCAGCCTCCCAGGAATGATTTCTCTTCTTAAGCTCACTGTTCATCAAGATAGTTCTTAGACATCATCTCAAACAGATCATTATGGCTATGCCATTACATGATAGATAAGAGGCACAGGTCACTGTCACAGGACAAATAGAACCAAGGAATGAGATGACCAATTGATCAGGAAAGTCTCTACCTGTATTCTTGCAAGGGTAAACCTTGTCTGAAGGTGGATAAAAGTTAATTTGATGAGGTGAACTCGTCTCTTGGAAATCTAGGGTCCAGGGTAGGAAAGTCCTAGGGTTAAGTTATATCATAGTGCTGACATATAGTATCAACTCTAAGACACTTGAGTGGATCTGTGGTGGTCACTACTCTTATGATATGCTATGATAAGTTTCATAGCAGAACCACACTCTACCTCCCAACACTGTAGGGTCAATAATGAACAGATTGCCTGAACTTGTGTGTCAAATCACACACAATTGTTGGAGGGTGAGGAAGAGTCTTGAGCATCCTCAGAACAATCTGATAGGAAGTGAACCAGATGTAGTACAAAGGGTAGAACAGGTCCAAAGTTGAGTAGTAGGGATGATATTAAGGGATTTCATTAAGGATCAACAACAGATTAACTCAAGTTGAGGGAAGAGTGGTTCAAAAGTAGCCATCAGATGACTTATAAATACAAGATAACTATCAGAGGCCAGAGAAGACACACCCATCAAGGTGAAAGGTTAGTAGCTGGTGGGCGGCCAAAATGAGTCATGGTAGAGGGTGTCAGTGACCTTACTCCAAGTAACTGGATATGGGACATCAAGAACACAAAAAGATAGTGGGATCACTGGGGCTTGGAAAAACAATCACCTGGTAACAGTAAGAGGAGCTGGGAAGACTTGGTGAAGGCAGACTTAATGTTTCTCAGTCATAGAAAAAAATGGCACATAGGAGTAAAACAAGAGGACCAAGAGGACTCAAAGGGGAACAGTATGATTTTTGAGGGGAGACACAGTATATTAGAGGTGATACTGAAAATTCAAAAACACAAACTTAGATGTGACCCAATCGAGCCAAAGTTTGGGTCTTACCCATCCCAAATGGCTACTGGATCAAGTGCTTCTAGAAGTCACAGGTTGTGGAAACAGTGGTGGAGCTGGTCCAAGAGAATAGTGTGAAAATACACTGGTGGAAGTCTTTCCATGTTATCAGGACTGGCAGGTTATTCTGTCTAGCCATCCTGGGCATAGATGGAAATGTTATCATAAGGGCATCTTCAAGTAGGTAACAAAAAAGTTGATGTTATCTAGGGGCTGGTGGCTCATGCCTGTAATCCCAGCTACTCAGGAGACTGAGATCTGATGATCATGGTTCAAAGCCGGCAGAAAAATCCCCCTGAGAGTCTTATCACCAATTAACCACTCAAAAAATGGAAGTGGCACTGTGGTTCAAGTGGTAGAGCACTAACCTTGAGCACAAACAGCCTCAGGGACAACACCTTGGCCCTAAGTTCAAGCCCCACAACCGACAAGAAAAGTTGATGTTTCACTGTCTGGGGAAGTGAATGGATGGACCAGGTCTCCAGCAAGCATAGTCTCGAGGCTTGATGGAGACAAGCCAGTTTGGGAGCACGCTATGGTATAACTGTAAACAGGGCTTTACCCTTATTGGTGAGGCCTGGATCAAGCCATGGACAATGGGCCTAGAGAGGCGTGGAAAGTACACCTAGGTATAAGAATTCCAGTTGAAACCATCTCCCTGACAGCAACATCATCCAATCTCTGAAAGCTGTTCCCCCAATAGGAGACTGGAGTTCTTAATATTTACGGCAAGTTTTACCTGGTGGTAATTTCCACAACACACCCATGAGAAGCATCAAGAGACTAGAAAGTAGAATAAAAACCACTACAGCCACCACAGAGTATTCTACTATGCTTCGCCCATTTCTCCATTAGAGCCAGCTCCCTGTTACTCTCTTCCATTTGTCCCATAAATAAGAAAAAAAATAACCTTTTTGCTTTAATCATATTTCAAATCAACTACTTATGCTGCCTTTGTAACTGGGATTACATGGGATTAATGGGTGGATCCCAACACGCCCTTCGTTATTGTTGTTGATGCTTGTTTATTGAGAGTCTCACTGACTTTTTACCCAGCTGGCCTCAAACCACATTTTTCCTGATCTCCACTTCATGAGTATCTGGGATTACAGTAGGAGTCACCTGGCCTAGTCCTAAAAGTTTCTTTTCAATGATTCAGTCATTTCTACCTATGTTATAGTTGTGTGTGTGTGTGTGTGTGTGTGTGTGTATCTATATCTATATCCATATACACATACACATACACACACACAAAGAGGACAGTCCCATGAACACTGAAAACAATAACTTAATGATTATGATGTAGACCTTGAGGACTCAGGACTTACCTGTAACAAAGCTCCCATTAGTGATGCCAGAGCAGCCATTCCAATACACAGGGCTCCAAACAGCACACCTAAACAGAGAAAAGGCCATGTGAGTTGCAGATTCAGAGATTCAGAATTCTCAAGAGAATAAGCCAATGCACCTTTGAGTCCAGGCAATGATACTATGGTGGTAAAGAATGCCCACACCCATCAATACCAGCAAAACCAGGAAAGAGCTATTTTCCTTCAAGACAGCCACATGCAAAGAGGACAAACAGAACCTTACATGTGACCTAGGATTAGTTACAATAGGAGGTTATGTAAGGAAAAAAAATCCCTGCAATCAACTGCAAAGGATTTTAAGATTTAGAACTATTATATTATTAGTTTAATCTTCCATAAACATTTGTTTATAAAGAAAGGCTCAGGTCTCTGTGTTCAGCTTACCAGAGCTCTGCTCTGGACAATAAGAGAATGATAAACAGAATTAGACTCTTCTGACTTTAATGTTCGTTTCTTCCAAGAAGTGGCAATCATACCACGAGGTGGTTTAGGATTATTTTTTTTAATTTTGTGATCCTCTGACCTCCAGTTCCAAACTTCTGGAATTAAAGGCATGTACTACCATATGTAGCTCTTTTTTTTGGGATGATCCTTTCCCATTAGATAGGTCATGACAAGGCATCATTAAGGGTTTTGTATTCAAAATTATTGGATAAATATTTAAATCGACTGCCATGTTCTTAGGTACAATGTTCTTTCTACACTTGCCTTAATATAATGGTTTCAGAGATTCTCTTAAAAATGAAAGTCACCCTGGACATGTAGGTATACGGTTGTAATTCTAACACTTAGAATGCTGATGCAGGAAGAACTTGAATTTGAAGCCAGCCTGGACTACACAGCAAAACAGGCAAGGCAACAGATAAAAAGTTTTATCTGTATTACATTAGCATGATTAATGGTTTGTCATTAATCATCATCTAGGAGAGTCAAATAGAGCCCCTGGTAATTATCCTTTGTCATTCGCTGATAATTCAATAATTTTTGAGATAATATCTTATTATGTAACTGAGGCTGAGCTTGAACTCATAATTTTCCTGCCCCAGCCCTCTCCTCTCCAAATTCTGAAGGTGCAAGTATAAATCACCACCACCATGCCAAGTTTAAATGTTTGAAGTACCTCAACTTACCTTGGTTGGAAATATGCTCACTGCTGCATTAAAATGTACGCATGTATTGCCACCAGGCACTAGTGGCTCACGCCTGTAATCCTAGCTACTCAGGAGGCTGAGATCTGAGGATCACGGTTCAAAGCCAGCTCAGGCAGAAAAGTCTGTAGGACTCTGATTATAACTACCAAAAAAAAAAAAAAAAAAGGCCAGAAGTGGAGCTGTGGCTTAAGTGGTAGAGTGCTAGACTTGAGCACAAAAGCTCAGAGACGGCACCCAGGCCCTGAGTTCAAACCCCAGAACCAGAGAAACAGTCTCTCTGAGAAAAAAAAAAAAAAAAAATATATATATATATATATATATATACACACAAATAAAATTGTGCGAGAAAAAAAGAAACTTACTCATTCCTTGGGAAACCCAAGACAAAGACCTTTCTGAGAGAGATGTGAAGTGAGGTTTGATTAGATCTTCCACAGTGACTGCAGCTAGAGCATTAATGCTGGAGGACACCGTGCTGTAAAGGAAAAGAAAATGTTTTAGGTTTCTATTTTTGTTTTCTTTCTTTACAATTTTTAAACTGATTTTCATTGTTTTATTGTCTTAAGTAGTTGTACAAATCCAACATGTCAGTTTATGAGTACAGTGCTTCTTGGTCAATGTCACTCTTTCCATCATTCGCCTCCATCTTTTCCAGCCCCACCCATCTCCTCAAGTGTTCTGGTTCCATTTTCACATATGTACATTGACAATTATGTTTGTATTTGCCCATGTAGTTTATAATGTTTATCCTTACTAACACTTTTAGCAATAATGAGGAAGAAGGGAGCAAATTGGTGCTTTCAAACATAATCAGATTTGTATGTTTTGTTAAAAAAACAAAACAAAACAATGACAGCATCCTCTTGCTGGAAGCTATTATTACCCAAGGATGATTATGTCAACATGCATAAGCTTCAAAGCAAAAAAGAACAAGTTCATGTTACTTTAATTTCCAGTTAATCCTCTGTGCCTATAAAAAAAAAAACCCTGCATATATATATATATATAACTCAGTATCATTACACAACAACTTTAAAGCATATTTTTTTCCTTATGGCATAAAAAAAACTATTCTAACTCTTCAGTAACATATACTATAAATAACAGTATTCATTTCCTGAATCATCACAGATGTATATTATTCTTGTTGATAACAACAATTCCATGAAGAAAACACTGGAAGAAAGTCTGATGATCAAGTTCAATGATGAAACACATGATCCATTGAACAATTACTAGTTTCCAACATGTAAATGGGATATTTAATCATTGACCACATACGTCTTAAACCCAGACTGTTGGCATTCATTTTTGACAAGCAGTGAAAGTTACCACCAAGTGTCATCCTCACTGCAACCCGACAGGGGTAGGTAGCTGTGTAGTAGAGAGCAGAAACCCCCATTGAAAGGTAGAGCCTGGCTGTGACTGGATACTGTGCCACAGAGATAAGCTTCAGAGCAGTAGCGAAGAAATATGGGTGCGTTTGCTTCCTATGGGCTATTTGTGCGCATGTGCAGAATTAATCTTTATCCCTCCAAAGTAACCAATAAGAAGGGAAAGATTGCTACAGGTAACGGCATGCTCATATGATACTATGTTCATAGAATCAGGTTCATACCTTAATGTTCCACTGTAAGCACAAGCCACAAAAAGTCCAGGAACTCCAGGAAAGTCTTGTAAAATGTCCAGTACCAAATAAGGCATGAGCTGCAAAATTCCAAATTTTACACGCAAGTCCAGTTTGCTATTAATTACAATTAATTTAAACATCTGATGTATCACATGTTCTTCCAACGCTGAGGGAAGATACCCGCATAACTAAAATTTCCTAATACCTAAAAGCAAAAGTCCGTTATGACTAGCACTTAAAAAAGAAACAAGCAGCGTAGCAATTAAGTATGAAGTGTTAGAAACCAGAGATGGCTTTGCTTACTTAATTTCTTTCAGCCTCATTTTCCTCATCTGTAAGAGACGAGTAATATTAACCAATGAGTTTCTGTAAAAGTTAAGTTATATAATCTTTGTAAAGCCTTTAATGAACACAGAAAGCAGAAAAGTTCAGAAAAGATAGCTGTTATTCTATGGGGAAAAATAGCCATTTTCTGAAACTAGCTAATCTAGGAGGATAAGGGGGTGGGAAAGATTGGAAGGGAAAGAATGATAAAAAGGATATTAATTAAGATGTGTTATAACTCAGTATATTGAACTAAAAACCACTTTGTATAACTACTTAATAATAATAAAAAAAAGCTTCTGTACTTTAATAAACTGCATCTGCTCTACTTTTTTTAAATGATTAATTGGAGATAAGGATCGCAAGGACCTTGATCCTCAGATCTCAGCTTCCTAAATAGCTAGAATTACAGGCCTAAGCCATCAGCACCCAGATGACTTTTTTTTTTTTTTTTTTTTTTGGTCAGTCTGGGGCCTGAACTCTGGGCCTGGACTCTGCCCTTCAGCTCTTCATCTCAAGGCTAGTGCTCTACCACTTGAACCACAGCACCACTTCCGGCTTTTTCTGCTTATGTGGTGTGGAGGAATTGAACCCAGGGCATGCAAGGCAAGCACTCTACCACTGAGCCACCTTCCCAGCCCCGCAGCTGGCTTTTAAAAAAACCGTTTACACTGTTACTCCTAGGCCAGTAACTTTTATATAACACTTGGCTGGAAATTTTCTTTTTCCAACTATTCCAAGAATTTAACTTTGCATAAAACACTCTTCATTCTTGCTGTCCGTTAAAATACATTTTGCAAAATGTTCTTTTTCTTCGGGCATAAAAAGGACTATTGTAAGTCCTCAGAAATGTATACCATAAATAGCAACACTATTAATTTCCTGAATCACCATGAACATAGATGGGAAAGATGAGTAGATTTTGCACACTTGTGTCTCTATGAGAACACAAACTATTTTTCCTTTCAAAATACTTGCTTTTGGTTTGTTTGATAACCTCAAGGCCTCATGCTTGCTAAGCAGGTACTCTACCACTTGAGTCATTTCCCAGCCCAAATAGGCTTTTTTGAAAATCTTTAATACACAAGAAAAGACACGATAGCAAACCTGGTCTGCTTCTGATACTTTCTTGGATGTCCAAGGGTCACATTCACGATACCTTGAATACAGGGCAAGTCCGCACAGCACAGAGCAGGTGAGGATGACCCACAGCCCCACAAGATTGATGTAAAGAGATCTAAAGAAGGAAAAACAAACCACCGAATGAACATTGTAATCTCCCTTCCAAAGATGAAGAAAAAGACTGCATGCACAAAAGAGCATTTTTATGATCATTCTCAGTGCATGCATGTTATCTTTGGGTTATCAAAAATGCTACCTTGGAAGCAAGTGGCTCAAGTGATAGGTATTGATAGGCAAGTGCAAGGCCCTGAATTCAAATGCCAAAGGTAGCCCCCAAATGCTAGCATCATATTCTAATATAAAAATCTAAGCTACATATGATATCCGCTGATGATGTTATCTTGAAATACTTGTAGTAGATAGTGTTTTTCCATGAAATGAGTATGTGCTCATGATTGAGATTTGTGGGGTTTGGGAGATTTATCATGGTATCTGATCATATTACTTCAGGTCTTGTCATGAAATCAAGAATTTTTTTTTATTTAAGTAGTTGTACAAAGGAGTTGCCATTCAATAAAGCAGTTTATGAATACAGTGTGTCCTGATAAGTGTCACCCTTTCATGATTCTCAGCCATCCCTCCCAACCCACCCCTTTCCTTCTTTTATTAAGTTTTTAGGAGATTTATATATATATATATATATATATATATATATATATACATATATATATATATGTATGATGTTTTGCCATTTAATGAAGTAGTTTATGTATACAATGTATCTTGATCTGTGTCATCCCTTCAATACCTTCATCCTTCAATCCACCCCCCCCTTATGTTTCTTAATTTTGTGGTATGTGAAATTTGAATTCTCAACTGCACTCTCCTCCCCTCCCCCCATTCATCTGTCTACTCCTCCCTCACTATTCCCCTCCCCTTCATAAAAGTGCACATTTCCTAGTATGTATTTTGTTGGGCTTTGACTTCGTCTTTCTAAGGAATTATACGATTTGAGCTCTCCGTAGAGGCTATTATACCTCAGTTAATTCATTTGCAACCTTGCCCGACTGGTTTATTTTCTATTAATGATATTCAGAGGCTGATGGGTTTTGTCCTCTGCTAATTGTTGGCAGTGGCCCTTGGCTTTGTGGCAGGGATTCCTTTCTCCATAGCATCAATATTACAAAGTAGGTAAAAATGACCCACCTAGGTTCAAGTACTCCTCCTATGCCGGGAAAGGTGCTGAACCATGTGGAAAGTAACTTGTTTAGTAACAAAATTGGGTTTTTGTGTTTCACATGCTCAAATGAATAAAAGAAGAATTTATGTACAACTACTTTGTGAAATGCTTTAGCTTGGGCTAGGAAAGTGGCTCAGTGGTAGAGCACTTGCCTTGCATGCCTGAGGCCCTGGGTTCATTCCTCAGCACCACATAAGCAAAAACAAAAAAGCCAGAAGTGGCACTGTGGCTCAAGTGGTAGAGTGCTAGCCTTGAGCTGAAGAGCTGAGGGACAGCGCCCAGACCCAGAGTTCAGGCCCCACGACCGGACCCCCCAAAAAAAATGCTTTAGCTTCTAGTATAAATTTGTAAGTCCAAATAGAAACTGTACATGTAAATTAATTTCAGCCAACCTTGACTTACGGAAGAGTTTCCATAAACAAATGGCAGTTGTGAATGATTCATACACTATAGTTTTGCTTACAGTTTTCCCTGGAATCTGCTTTTGCAGGAAATGTATCTCTGCACTTGAGACTGGTTGATACCGTAGATGCTGGTCCATGTGAAGGTCCCTCCTATAATAATTGTCCAGAATGTGTGTCTTTGCAAAGG